CTTCATCTTGACTCCAAGACCAAGGTTAAAGACAGAGGCTCAGTGGTCACAGCTGACACACAAGGGTCAGACAGGAAGACTTGGGAGAGGGGAAGCAAAACCATTTCAGCCACAACCTGTTGGTAGCAGCAGAACCTAGTCAGGGAAACTTCTCTGGAAGACCCTTGTGGTTGGGCTGGACAAGACTGGTCCTTGGCAGTCATGGATTTAGATACGCTGGAGTAGGTGGTCATGGTCGGAGTAAGAAGGTGTATCTCAGGGGGCTGAGAGCAAACTGAGATTCCTGGCGTGATGGTGGTGATTTGTGGAAAATCCTTTGGGAAGGGCAACTAGTCTGTAGGCAGTAAAATGGCAATTCTGGATCTGGTGGGGCTTTGCTCTAACTTCACCTGATGTGCTGGCAGTGGAGGGGTGGCTTCATGGGACCTGATCTGGAAGAGAGGGCCATGTTCATTGGCATCCCTTTGAAACAGGCAACAAGCATGACTAGCATTTCTAGTTCAACAGTGAAGAACAGGGCCATGAAGCTTGAATGTGGGACTTTGGGGGAGTTTTCTTCAGAGGAACCCATACACCAAGCCTGGTGTGGAAACTCCTTTTTCTTGGGAGAATACTTAAGAGGGATGGGAAAATGGACCCTCAGTATCTGGATATCAAGGCTGCTCTCTCTTCCCTGCCCTATTGCAGAACAGCTCACAGTGCTTCCTCCTCTCTCTGAAATCCCAGGTATGAACTTTCTCAAAGCCCATTAGCCAAAATGTTTGTGGCATAAAGTGGGTGTGAGGGTGTGAAGGGGAGCTCTGCAAAGTGGAATGTGAGGTTGGGGTCCCCTGGTCCCAGGGAAATTCCAGTGGGGGAGTGCCCGTGTTCCCATCCACACTACTGCAGTCACTGCTCTGGAGCACTGGGCAAAAATACCCACTTCCAGTCTTGTAATGTGCTGCCCAAGCAAATGTAAAATATTTAATCTGGCATTGCCAAAGGGGTGCTTTATGACTTATGCCAAATTACATTATATAAACATAATAAAAGGGTTAGCTTTGTTTGAATCTGTCATTCTAAGCAATAAAGATGTCAGATAATTTATTGTTGGGTTTTGATACCCACGCTATGAAGCTAATAACTGCTTTTCTGTGTGCATGTATCTATGTGTGAGCAGTGCACATGCAGCTTGTCATTTTCAAAGGTGATCAAGTCTGAAGATGTTGCTGATAGAATCCAGGAACACTGTCTGCTACAAAACTGCCTTCCAGAGTTCGCTTTTGAGCCTGGATGCCTGCAGTTCCCAAAACTGCTTGAGAAGGCTGACAGGGACAGGAGTCCCTCCCTGTGCACCAGTGGTAGGAAAGATCTGGGGAGGGGAGCAGGGAGGTGCTGGCACCACTGCTGGGGCAGAGCTGGGCTTGTTCTAGGTGCGTTAAAGGTGGGACATGACCCCTGCAGACCAAGAATTGTCAAGCTGTGATGGGCAAGGATTTAACAAAATGAAGCATTAAAACCACATGATACCTCTCGTGAAAAAAAGGATTTTTAATGAGTTGTTTCTCCTGCACTGTAGACTCTTTATGCCTGACAGGTTTCATTTTGACTAGTGGCAGGTGCTTCACCAGAGATCCAGAACTTTAGCTGAGTCTTGTTCTTGTTTTTAGGGAGGAGGAACAGAGGTGTGACTAAATGGCTCATTGAAGATGGGGGAGGATTTAGCTGGGCACCAGCTGTGGGTACCAAATTGGAGCAGCTCTTGAGCAGTACAGGATGGAGCAGAGCAGTGGCCAAACCCAGGGCATGTCCATCCTTATCTGGCAGGGAGCTGGAGTGGTTTCAGCTCATGATGGTAGGTGCTTCTACACCAGGGCTGGCACAGGCTGACGTGCTGGGTATACCCTCAGCTTCTGGAGCAACAAAACACTCTCCCTCTCTCTCTATTTTGAGACCTGTGTTACAACCACTGAGTCGATGGAAAAACAAACGCAAGTCCTGTCAAGTACTAGGACAAATATTTTTAAGGCTATTTCAGGGTTTATAAAAAATAGTAAACTAGAAAGTAAAATACACTCTATTAAACTGTCTTAATTTATAGTAAAATATGCAGACTCTCTGCTGGGGTGCAAAAAGTAAAGATGCCTCTGAGTCTAAGACTTGGATTGTCAGTATCTGAGAGTATTTATAAATTAGTAGGTGTAATTATTGTCTTGAAACCTTCTGTTAAGATAGTCTTTCTTCAAAGTAAGCTTTCCTTCTGGCTTCTGTTGAGTGCCAGTGTGGAGCTGTAACATGCTGTTTGTTCACCTCTCCAGAAGAAACTGAGTTTGTCAGTCATTCCCCATTCCTACAGCATAAAGTGTCCTATTTAACACTGAGACATTGCTGTTGGATGCCTGAAGACCCCAGGCCTACTAGAAGATTTTAAAAAAATAGTTCAGTTAAAGACCAAGGGCAAAAATAGTTTCATGGGTTTTCTGTTTCAAATTAGACTCTTAAAGGCTTCTTTCCCAAATTTCTTCCATTCGAGTTTTGGATCCAGTCCTAAATGCTGGGTCTGAAACCCCAAATTACACCGCAGTTTGTGCCCACATCAGTGATGGGGTGGATCCAAACAGCAGATATAACCACACCGAAAGCCAGGGAAGTTCTGGGTCCCCTACCCAGGTTCAGTCGAGCCCCTTTGCCTTGTGGATCCTCTCTGCCCTGCTGGACCCTCATCTGCCCCTCCACAGCCTGTCCACTCCACATCTAATCCACCCAGGGCCACTTTAGGTGAACATAATCTGTGATATAAACATAATAGGATCTGAGTTAGCTTTGAGGACTGGTAGGGGTTAAATCTTTTGTAAGTTCAATTAAGAAATAAAACTCGGTGGGAGACCTGCAATGCTTCCCAGTTGTTCTCCAAGTACCACAACAAACCTGCTCATTTTAGGCCTGGTATCTAAGGGGGTATCTGGCTTTGTAATCTGGGGTTTGGTTTGGGCTCATCTCTACCCAAAATATTATTTTAACCACTCTTTGTGTTTTATTTCCATACTTTTCCTTCGGTATGCTTTGAGAAAAGATTCTGCCAAAGACAGAAATGCTTTGAGCCTGAAAAACATTTTTTTTCTGTGTATATGGAAGGCAGTGTTTTGCTTGGCTTAGCTTGTGAAATACATGGCACAACCTGCACGAAATATTTGAGGCTGTGAGGAGACATGAGCAATTCTTAAAGAAAAAAAAAGAAGAAAAAAGTTAGTTTTCATTCAATGGTCTCATTTGCTTATAACCACACCTAGACAGGAGATGTGGGGCAGAGCAAGGAAGAAGAGTTGATTTATGAACTTGTAAAATTAAAGTTGTTATAAAGTTGAAAAGAAACAAAACAGCCCCCCCCAAAAAAAGCTCAGACTCATGGCAAGGTTTCTACACATGTGAGCAGGAATTAAACCATTAGTGTTTGATAAAAATTCATGAGGCTTTCAAAGTACCAGGGGTTGAGATGAAAGCTCTGCCTTATGTACCCAGGCTGTGGGGAAAAGGGCTGCCAAGTGCTCCTGTCCTCACCTGGTTGGTCTTTTCCTGTGGAGGGTCACAGTATGGGGTGGAAGGCTAATGGGGAGCTTAGAGGGTCAGTTAATAGTTCAGGGGCCTGCTGGTAGGGCCCTCTGGATTTTTTCAGTCTGACTTCCATCTCTAAGCAGGATCAACAGCAAGTCTCTACCTCCATGAGCTCCTCTCTGCTCTTGTGCCTCCATGTGCCTCCCACCAAATGTGTGTAGAGGCAGAAGTAACTGAATCTGGCTTGACTTGCTCCTTAGCACGGAGCCCAAACTAGAGCAGCCCCTGACTTGCCCCATTTCAGGTTGGTACTCCTCAGAGGTCTCAGGTGGAAGAGGTCTTGGGGGTAAAACAGATTTCTGGCCACTCAGCCTGTCCCCGTACCTGTTCCTCCACAGAGTGGTGCACACAGGCTGTTTGACTCTGTGTCTGAAACATGTGACTTTGATTTCCATCCACTGTCTCTACCCGTGATAAGATTTCGGCTACAAGAAGAGGCTGTGATGGTGAGCACTGGTCCAGGTGATGTGTAGTCATGCCAGCCACACAGGGGGAACTGACCTTCGTTTGTAGCCTAACATTCCCAGAGGCCTTCGATACCACACCAGAGCAAACCAAGATGATAATCCTGCCTCTCAGATTTCCAAATCCAAGCCAGAGCTATTCAGCCCAATCCCTGTAGCTCATCTCCAGCTTGAGCTCTTATCATAACTGACAAGAAAATAATTCCTTTTGAGTAGAAGAAACTTTCTCTTCCTCAAACTCCAGGGCCCATGCAGCTTTGGCTGCAGGAGTCATTAAATCTATTTAATTTGGCTGCATTGGTGTGCTTCATGCCTGATAGTTGGGCACCCTCCTGCAGGAAGTCCTGGGCTTCAGGAAGGGTCAGAAATAAAAAAGGAAATGGAAAACCACTCTCAGAGAGTGATTGTTTGCTGTTGCTTCATTAGCAGCTTCAATAACCCATTAGGGAGCAGCCAGGAGCGTCATCACCTGCATTTTCCAGCAGGAGCAATTTGTTGCTCTTATGAAGTGAGCAGTCACTCCTTTTAGAGCCATGCACAGGAGCATCATGACCCACTGGATGATGGGCTCAGGGGGTGGAAAAGGATGTTTTTACTTAGGAGAGTGAAAGCATTGAGCAGCTGGTCTCAGTGAGCAGAGCCGTGAGGGAAGGGCACTACTCCGTGTCAGTGCTGCGATCACACGTCCCGGAGGATGTGCCTGGTTTATGGTGTTTCCATCTGGGGTTTGGGAGAGGAGCGAAAGCCCCCCGCCCTGAGCACTGGGACACTGGGATGAGGCTGTGAGGATGTGGCACTGAAATACCCACCCCAAAGCAGCAGAGGTCACAGGGGCCAAATTTTAGCAGGGGAAGAATGAGAGGAAATGAGAGAATGGGAACGAAAAAATTCTTGGTTCCAGACAGAGCGGTCAGCCCTCCTAATTCCAAGCAAACGTTCCACTGCCAAGCAACTATTCAGTTGCCAGGGGCAGTTATGGTCGTTGGAGTGGCCACAGGGCCTGTTATGGTGGTTTGAGCAGCCACAGGGCCTGTCTGCAGGGCTGGAGTAGCCACAGGGGTTGGAGTAGCCTCAGGGCCACAGGGCTGTAGAGGCCGCAGGTCACGGAAGGTCCCAGAAAAGCAGAGGGGCTCGTCCCGTGCCTGGTGCTTCTCACGCTCCTCTGGGCCCTCAGGCTTGCAGGGCAGCTCCTGGGCTGACCTGGGAGAGGGGCACTGCCAGCAGGCTCTCTCTGTCCTGCTGGTGGCTGCAATCATGGATACCTGGAGCAATGGGAAGATGGCAGCCCGTTTCCTCACCCTGTACAAGGTGGAAATCCCACACTTGCTCAGGTGAGGGGGCTCTTCCACCAGCCTCCACCCTCTTCTCCTGTCTTCTCCATACCTCCTTTCCCTGCCATGGCAAACTCCCACCCCTTATCCCCATCATTTCTGTCTCCTCTTGTACCTCCCTTCCCCAGCCCTGTTCCTCCCTGTAACATCCCCGTGCTCTGCCAGGGGGATCCCCACTGGGGAGGGGTGGGGATGCCGTGCTGCCAGATGGGGTCTGAGATGGTGTTGGGTTGCTCTGCCCTGTTCCCCCACCTGGGACACAGTCCAACACCCAGAACAATCCAACACCCTGCCAAGGAACTGGACCCAGCATGTAACCTTGAGGAAAACTTCTGTGGCAGGGAACTCAAAGTGAAAGAGGAGGAATCCCGATGTCCACTTACGCAGCTTCTGAAGACTAAGAGGGAAGCTCGACTGATGGAAAAGGCTCTGGCAGAGAAAGATGAGGTGAGAAAGATGAGAGCGTGCTGTGGCATGGTTGAGAGAGCTTGTGGTTTTTTGGATGAGGGCACCAGCAGGCAGGTGACTGGTTCTGGGTGAGGGCAGCCATGCCACCCTCACTCTGGCGCTTCAGACCTTCAGGGAGAAGATGAAAGTCATCACTGACCGATGGAGGGCCCTGCATGCCAAGAGGGTTCAGCTGAAAGACCACGTGGAGAAGTCTGGGAGAATTATACAGGTACACCAGATGACATGACCCTGAGCCACACTACCCACTTCTCCCCTCCCTTGGGGAAGAGGGTCTTGGGCCAGTACTCCTGTTAAAGCCTGCCTTGAATCTGGAGGTGTAAGGAAGAGGAATTGCATGGCGCGAGGTTTTGTACCACAGGCATGGAAAGCCCTGATAGGGCTTGGGTGAGAGAGAGAGCTTATCCAGTACCAGTGGGATCTCCTGAGGGCACCAAATGTCCCCCAGGAAGGCTCTCAGCCTTGTCACTACTGTTGGCATTCAGCTGTCTTCCAGGAACAGGTACAAGTAGGTCTGAAAATCAGAGTGCCATCCCAGGCGCCTGTCTCCAAGACCAAAGGGTCAGTGCAAGAGGGAAAACAGGGAGGGAAAATATTCCTGGGGTGCTCCACTGCTGGTCTCTACTCTGTGAAAGTATGTCCTTCCAGTGCTATTAAGTGATTCATCCCCATCTTTCCTTGCCTTCCTTTCCCTCTCTCTGTATATGCATGCACGTGTGTTGGTGGGGGAAACCACCAGGAAAATGAAGAGGCACGAATCCTAGCTCTGAAGATAGACAGCAAAGAGAGAGAGGAGAATATGCAAAAGGACAGTGAGCTTTTGAGAGCTAAGACGAAATTGGAAGCCCTCAGAAAAGAGCACTGGAAACTCTGCAAAAAAGTACAGAAGTACTCTGTCTTCAAGAAATACCTGGAGGACGTGGTGAAAGTCTCACAGGTGAGTTTGGATGTGAGAGAGACAGGTCGTGGTCTTGGGAAGAGCCTTACGTAGGTATTGAAACTAAAAGAGATAAGGCAAATCCACTGGATACTTGATCAGTCCCAGAGACCTCAGACGGAATGGTAAGAGGTTCCCTGCAATCAAGGTGAGCCACAGGGAGGAGAGTTAGGGTAGAAGAACCAGACCGGGAAGGGAAGTCTCGCTGAGAATAGGACTACAGAATAGTTAGACTTGGGGAAGAAGTGAAGATCTTTCACCTGGGGGAGGTGTTGGCCCTGATAAGGGCAGGGTACCAAATCAAACAAGCCCTGCAGCTCGTGAGGGGAGGGCATGGGGTTACTAACACCAGGAATTGTTTGCTGTAGTTTGAGGACATCCCAGAAGTCGCTTCACGGTACAGGTTGCTGGTGAGGACACACAAGGACCTTCTGCAGTCACAACAGGGGCACAAGGAACTGACTGAGCAAGACAAGCTGCTCCTGGAACAGTACAGGGCAGAGAAAGAAGCTGAGATGCTTCAGTACAAAAGGGAGCTGGTGCAGCTCAAACTACGTTTTGATCAGGCTCAGAGAGACATCCTCCTCTGGGTAAGGAATTGTGGGGTGGGCAGGGGAAGATCTCCAAGGCCTGTCTCTGTCAAGACCGGCTGATGGCTCATCCTTCAGCCATGAGGTCATGGCAGGGCCCAGTACCATCTTTGTGATGGGAGGAGGTTCATAATTTCATCCCTCCATGCAGTTGCAGAAGGAAGAATGACAGACCAGGTCTGGAGCCAGTTTGCCATCAGGCAAAGCTGAAAAGCACCTGGTCTGGGAGGGTGGCAGTGGCATGTGTTGCTGCCAGGATATCAGCAACCCTGCTGAGGGTAGCATGAATAGGGTCTGTAGGGAGCCAGAGTGAGGACTGCAGGAGTGGAAAAGAGACAGGGAGGTTCCTGGGGCAATGAGCAGCTGTGGTGTTTCCTGGCTCTGCTTCCATCACACTGGGCTGAATCACCTCCAGCACAGCCTGGCCAGGACAGGTTTTTCCTAGCCAGGCAGATGAGTGTGGAAGTTAGGGTCTCCAAGCCAGGTGTCCAGTGCTGCGGCAGCACCTTTGCTGGGGCACATCCCCATGCTGCATATCTCCTCTCCTGCCAGGAGGCTCGCTGGGCTGACATCCAGAACAGGACTTCCAGGAAAACCAGGAAGTTTTGGACCATCAAGCTGGCCATCCACGACCTTTTCCAGTCCACCAACATGCGGCTGAATGCGGAGTGTAATGTGTCAGCAGATGACAGCCTCAAACAGCTCGACATGGTGAGGCCAAGCCAGAGCCCTACTCCCTGCCCAGAAAGAGGAGCTACCCAAAGGAGGGGAGAGCCCACAGGCCCAACAGACACTTTCCTGTCTCTCTTGGGCATGGGGAATGGGCAGGGGATACCAGGCAAACCTGTCTCTTCTGAGGAGGCAGAGCAAGGTGTGGAGCCTGGAGAAAGGAGTGGGAGCCAGGCAGGCTGGGGCAGGAGATGCAGGGGATGCAGATCAGGCCACGGCCAAGGTTGGGTTTTATTCACCCATGCCCTGAACTCAGACTCACCTACAAAACTCCATTCTGGTGGTGCAGATCCAGCAAGGCAAATGCTTATCTCCCTGTTCAGTTTGATTGGTGACATTTGGGGCCAAAGAACCTCTCTCTGCTTCCTGTTCCCATCCCTGTGCTGAGCTCTGCCATCTCTCTTTCCCACCCTAGATAAAGCAGTTTATCCAGCACCTCGAAGACATCCATCTCTTTGGGGGACAAGAAGAAGCACCAGTGAGCAGCTACACTGATGAAGCCAAAGGAAACCTGACTTGCCCTGACAACAAAGGTTCAGTAGGTTGGGAAGGGAAAGAGGAGAACCCTAGAGATACTGTAGACTAAAGAAAAAAACAAAGAAACAAGCTGTTTTAAGGTGTCTCTTTATTTCCTGGGAGGATTGGACATGTCAGAGCAACTCCATCCCACAGCTTCACCCTAGACACCATTGGGGTGCCTCCTCTAGCAAATGGGGTTCTGGTTGCAGGAGACACTGTTCCTGCAAAACATGCAATATCATGAGAGCAGGCTGGGACAGGAATATAGGCTCCAACAGGGTTCAGTACAAGTGTTCACATTTGGATGTCCCACTCAGACTAAGCTCTTTTATATTTGGGAGAGGTGTCACAACAGGGTGGGGAGACTGTGCTCCAGGAGAGCTTCAGAAAGTTTCCACCACACCCAGCACATCAGTGAATATGGATTTCTCTGCACAGCCATGTGTTGTGGACTAAAGCTCACCTTCCCCCTCAGGGTGCTAGGGAAAGTGTGGAGAACAGGCATAGGTGATGGATGAACCAGCCAAAGCTACCACACCAAGCATTTAGCTGTTCACCACGTGTGCTGTCATGAGGAATGACAGCAAAGCAAGAGGACTAACAGTGGCTCCAGGGACTCACTGTGGAATTCAGGTCAGATCCCACAGCCTTTTGTGGAGGACCTTTTAATGGACCAAGGACCCCGTGACATAAGCTTACAGATTTTGAGGCAAGAGACCATTGATCACGTGCTCTTGCTCTCTGCTCTCCAGTAGTTATTCCTGTCTTGAGACAAAGGATTTCCTGGATTAAGAAGAGCTTCCAGGAGGAAATAAAACTCTCTGAGACTGGTGAAATGTTGCACAGGGCCATGCAGAAATGATGCTCGGCTCTTCCCAAGTTTCGGGTGAGACTGGGGAGAAAGAGGTCTGGAAATCGAGCATGTGGGGATGAGCGATGGAGCTTTGTCTCCAAACACTCATTCAGAAGGGTTTTTCCATCTTCCTCATCCTTACCATGGCACAGTGTCCTTGCAGTTTCTGGTTTTTTTTAGGGCATGGCCTAGATACAATTTGGAAGAATTAAAAACTGGGGGGGAAAAAAAGCAATTCAAATGCTTCAGCATAGTGAGCATGAGTCCCAAAAGGGTGATCTTTTTAGCTAGACAGGTTCTGCCATCTACGCTTGGTTTGGTCTTCCAAAATAACAGGGTGTGAACTTTGATATTTCCACGTTATATGGCAAGAAATAACATGCCTGTAACAGTTTTAATCCTGGGTATTACCTCTCCTCCAAACTTTAGAGATGTACTGATATACACACCCTGCCTTCCCGCATGCGGGCGGGTAATTAGGAAGAAAAAAATCCTCTTTGTGTGTTGGTACACGTCCTTCTAAGCAATCCCAATTTCCATAGGGATCACATGTGGCTGAAATGCAGCTGTTGTTGGTGTCCTGTGTGCTTTGCAGTGCGCTGTGCTCACAAATAAAAAGTGAGACAAATTTCAGTACCTGATGTCTTACACAGGAGAACTGGATGAGGGTTCCAGAGCCCTGTGCCAACACGGGAATGAATGTCTGACTTTCCTTAGAGGAAATTTCAGGATGGTATAAATTTAATATATTGGATTGAATGGTCATGTGATTTGTTACCTTTGTGGCTTTTTTTTTTTTGTAATCTTTTCGTGATAAAGGTGAAATCAACAACTTAAATCCTTTAATTAAAATCCTCTTGGCTGAGGATGTGAATATTATGGAAATTATTTCCATTTTTTAGCCAGGCTTTTAAAATGAGGATACAGAAATAAAGAACTTACACCTCTGAAAGATGGCATTTCTTACTCTATTCCGACATCAGCATGGTGCAGTTTTCTGCACCTTCCCGTGTCACACTGCCATAAGTCAGGAAATAAAGCTTAAATCTAAGGTAGTTATAAAGAATCTTGTTTCTTGGGATTTATTTGGTTTGGTTTAGTTTGGTTTTTTTAAAATTAATTTATAAATGCCTCTCTTTCAATTAAAAAAAAAAAAAGAAAAAGGAAAGAAAGAAAAGCCATGCACCTTTTTCCAGGTGAATATTGACTATTGACTGAGACAAGACAGTGTAAGGCCTCTGTTTCTGCTTTAAATTCTAATATAACTGATATAACTGAGTTTTTGTGACATTAGTTGGGTTACTAAGAGTGCTGGACACAGGCTGAAATCTGAGTGCATAACAGGAATCCATACAGTGGTTAAGGAAATCGGAGAAACGTTATACTTGGAGTTACAAGGAAAGAATTCCAAAGTATCTTCACTGAAACTAATGAGTTTATTTTGGATTCGTTCACTTGTAAGTAGGAGGTTGGCAATAGCAGGGATAAGAAAGTGGCTTTCTCTGAAATAGGAGAGAGAAAGAAAAGAATGCAATCTAGGAAATGATGTAGCACTGGTCTTTTAAGAAAAGCCTTCTCTTTCTATAAATTTTTTGCATTGTTGGACATTTTAGGGAAGAAACAACTGTAAAAATTAAATGGAGTGGTAGAGAGCTGTGTATGAGGGAGACAAGGTTGCTTTGGTTAAACTTGGAGATTATGCATGTGATCTTCTCTGGTGACATCATCAATTTTAAAAATTGGGAAAAAAGCCCAAAATAGGTGAGGTAGAGTACCCTAACCCTGTCTCCACCAGTCCTCAGCAACACAGCTCTGTCTCTTGGATTTGGGCAGCCGCTTGGATCCACTCCCCTTCCTCGTGCCACTTGGATGGGTCATGAACAGATGTAAGACAACCAGTGCTGTTCCCAGGTTGGCCTTGGGGTCACTCTTCCATTAGGAAGCTCAAACCCTGGAGTGTGCAGCAAATCCTTCACCGTTATGGGGAATTGCAGCAAGTGCAAGTGCAGCCCAGTCATTTCATGTGAGTAAATCAGGATAAACTCCCAGGATTACTTTGATTACATGATGCTTATCTCAAGTTACATCCTGGGCTGCATGGTGGGATGGTCCCAGTGCCCCACTGCACATGCAGCTGTGCCATGCTGGAGCCCCAGAGGTCTGGGGTTCCTGTGGGCCATGATGTTATTGGGGTGAAGCACAACCTTTTGTGCCCCCCAACACCGGGAGCCATTGGACTAAATGTCGAACACTGTGACTGGGTTTGCCCTCTGCAGGCCTCCCACCTTCCACAGTTCCTATAAAATGCTGTTTGCCAGCCCACAGATGCAACAAACAGCCCAATTTGATTCTGCCTCTCTATTCTGCTCTGGTGAGATCCCACCTGGAGTACTGTGTCCAGCTCTGGGGTCTTCCAATATAAGAAGGACATGGAGCTGTTGGAACAAGTCCAGAGAGGGCCATGAAGATGCTCCAAGGGCTGGAGCACCTCTGCTATGGAGTCAAAGAGAGCTGGGGTTGTTAAGCCTGGAGGAGGGAAGGTTCTGGAGAGATTTAAGAGCAGCTTCCAATACCTAAAGTGTGGCTATGAGAGAGCTGGACTTTTGACAATGGGCTGTAATAATAGGACAAGGGGAAATGGCTTTAAACTAAAAGATAATAGGTTCAGGTTCAATATTAGGAAGAAATATTTCATTATGAGGGTGTTGAGGCACTGGAACAGGATGCCTCATCTCTGAAGGTGTTCAAGGACAGGTTGGATGGGGCTCTGAGCAACCTGGTGAAAGGTGTCCCTGCCCATGGCAGGAGGTTGGAACTACATGATCTTTAAGGATCCCTTCTAACCCAAACCACTGTATGAAATTCTGGACACTGTGGGTACAGCACATGAACAGTTGTAATGGGAATTGTAATGTTCTTGGGCTTGGCTATGAAGTATTTGCAAGATGACAGTATGGTACAGAGTATAGTGCTATAATTTTTGTTCAAGTGGCTTTAAAGGAGAAAAGAAAGTGCCTAAACAGTCATCAGACCTGAATTGGTCAGGTACTTGAAGTAGATGGCTGTTGTAGGTCCCTTCCACCTGAAATAGTCTGTTCTATTCAAAATATCTAGAATCTCTAGAGTTTGATACTTTGCTATTCAATCCCAGGCACACACAGACACTTTTGTGGTTATCATAGGAGTATTGTGAAAAAAAGTAGGTCAGCTTTAAATCTTCATTCCTTGCTTTTAAGATGTGTGTAGTTGCAAATGCTGCCACTGCTGTGGTATTATCAGGTGAAGTTCATTTGGTAGTTAGTCCTGGGTAGGTCGTTGAAATGAGAGTAAATAAAACAACCCAATCTTTCACCTGGCATCAAACACTGAATGCTGAGTGGAGAAAGCTCTATTGAAAGGTCTTTGATGGGTAGCTTTGTACTCAGAGAGTTTAATTAGAGATGGTGGTGTGGATGAGCAATAGCTGGCTGCCACTTTGGCAACAGGATTATTCAGGGACAGCCACTAGCAGGAGTAGTCAGATGGTTGATATGAGCCAGTTAGTACATGGAACTCATGTGAAGGGTGGAAAAGAGGTTATGCTTCACAAGGAGCTGGAAGAAATATTTATCATAGAGACTGCAAGAGGTGTTGTCTGGAGCGATGATGAGTGTGTGTGAGCTGGATTTTGTGCATGTGGGTTTGCAAACAGATGGGATCAGGCACCACTGGCAACTCACCTGCCGAGCACCTGTGCCTAGGGGGTAGCTTGTGTTCAACAGGTAGGAAAAAAAGGGTGGAAAATGAGCTAAATGGCTTGCAAAGGATCAACTCAGCATTGATGGCATGGCCAATGGTTATTTTAAGGCCAGTGAGCGATGTCCTTAGAGCAGGGAGTGCATGAGGTAGAGTTAAATCCCAATAAGTATAAAGTTCTGGACAGGAAAGGATAATTTTTCAAAGCAGCTGCTCACAATTGTTCACTCACCCTTCCAAAATGTGTCCTGTGGGCATTCCCACACAGCATCAAGTAAATCACTGATTCAGGAGGAAAACAGGCTGCTGAATGACAGATGTTCAAATCACCACTCATCCTCTGCCCCCTTGGATGGTGAGGCTACTGGGGTCTTGCTCCACATCTGCCCTTCTCTCCCAGTCCACTCACTCACTCCTTGCTCGATACAGACACTCTCATTCATTTTTCATAAATACAATTGCACGGACATTAAAGTGCATGGTGAGGAAAGAG